GATTCTATGATCATCTGACTAGCTAGCCGCCCATCCATCCCCATGTGAGCCCATCAGCTTTCTAGCTATATATACACCTTCTATCTATTCCTATATACAAACTTTCTCTCCCCCCCATCCCCATACACACCCTCTATCTGTCTATCTATCTATCTGATGCCCACTGAATTTGAATCCAAGCAGCATTAAATCTCCTGCCCCCAAAATGTCCCCTCCGGTTCCCCTACCCCACCCCTGTGCAGAGTGAGTGGCTGGGGCAAGAGAGAAAGGAAAGAATTTGCACTCACCTGCTGGGAGCACCTGGCTAGCTCAGCAGCAGAGCCTGAGGGGCTTATATGGCAAGGGATTCCCCCAGGCGGGTGGTGACACCCATGGGTGAGGCAAATGGGTCGGGTTTCATCACAGCTTCCTGGAGGAGGGCAATTCTACACAGAGTCAGCTCGGGGCAAAGGGAGCTGGAGAATAAGGTGTAGAGAGATGACAGATAGGAGGGGCTGTGTCAGAGGGTTACAATCTCTGGAATGGGAGAGAAGGCAGAGTCAGGTCCCTTTACCCTGTCATTCAAAGAACGAGGGGATGGGACAATGCAACAGAGGCCTGTGGAACTCCTCGCCACATGGTGCCCTTGGGATCAAGGACTCAGCAAGGCTTGCAAAAAGGGCAGAGTTCTTATGCAGTTGCTGCAGTTGAGGAAGGAGTGTCAAAGTATTATGGGATAGAACCCCACAATGCCTCGGGTTAAAGAGAAATGCCCCCCCACCACCACCAAATGCCACTAGCGGGTTTCTTTACCTTCTTGTGCCAAACCCTAATCCTAAAACCACCAGAGACAGGATTCTGAGGTAATGGGCCCCTGCAGCATCTGTGAGGGGTGGACATGGCAGAGACGGGGGATGTGGGTCGGATGCCTCTCCTGGGAGAAAATGTTTCACCAATTTCTTTCCTCTCCATTCACCCACAATTAACGGGGCCACTGCTTGACTTCCAGCTACTTGACCCCCCTCACTTCCCAAAGCCAGGGATATAACCCAGGAGTCCTGACTCCTAGCTCCCCCTGCTCTAACCCACCGGACCCCATTCCCCTCCCAGATCCAGGGATAAAAGCTAGGAGTCCTGGCTCCCCAATCCCTCTGCCCCCCGGAATCCTCATCCTTTCCCTACCCCCCCCCATGTGGCCCCACCCCTTGGCCCAGCACTCCTGCATTAGTGTCAATATTTGTGACTCTTTTCACACAGGCTGGGTCAGGTCAGGGCCACCGCAGGCATAGCTTCCTCATCCCACCTCTGACACCAGTGGAGGCAGTGCAGGCACTGTCATAGCAGCTCCACTGCCAGGACCTCTCCCTGAGTCCCCTTTCCCCACTTCCTGTGCTCCTCGGGCATCTACCTCTGCCAGGATCCTTCTCTGATCACACCTGGCTGCACTCCCCATGCCTCCCCTCCTCCCCTGTTTCCAGGATCCCTCTCCCATCCCTCCCCCCAGCCTGCACTTCCCACGCTGCCCACCTCCCACGCTGCCAGGATCCTTCCATTCCCCTCCCGCCCCAGCCTGTGCTCCCCACACCACCCACCTCCCCTGCTGCCAGGATCCCTCTCCCCCCCAGCCTGCACTTCCCACGCCACCCACCTCTCCCGCTGCCAGGATCCCCCCCGTTCCCCTCCCCCCCAGCCTGCGCTCCCCACACCACCCACCTCCCCTACTTCCAGAATCCCCCTTAACCCTCCGCTCAGCCTGCACTTCCCACGCTGCCCACCTCCCCCGC